TACTCCGTGTGATGAGTAGATCATCAACATATACTAGGACAATCACTATGTCAGCAGACTTGTTTAGTGTGAACAGTGAATAGTCATGGTTCCTTTGGAAAAATCCTGCATCCACCAATGCATCTGTCAACTTTATGTTCCATTGCCTAGATTATTGCTTTAGTCCATATAAGGACTTGAGCAACCTGCACACCCTTGACTCCCCATGTCTTTTAAACTCCTCAGGCATGTCCATATAAACTTTCTCACATAGGTCTCCTTGTAAGAATGCATTGTACACATCCATTTGCCATAAAGTCCAGCCTTTAGATACAGCAAGTTCTATGACTGATCTTATAGTCACCATTCTAACAACAGGTGAGAAGGTATCATGATAATCAAGGCCTTCCTTTTGACTGTAGCCTTTTGCTACAAGTCTGGCCTTGAACCTCTCAACCTCTCTATAGGCTTGGTATTTGATCTTGTACACCCATTTTGAGCCTATCGCATTTTTCCCTTTTGGAAGGTCTACCACTTCCCATGTACCATTCTCTTCTAGTTCCTTGATCTCCTACTTTATTGCCTCTATCCACCTGATATCTTTTGCTGCATCTATGTAACACTTAGGCTCCACCAATGTAGAGAATTTTGCAAGATAAGCTTGATATGTTGGCTTGATGGTATCATAGGATAAATGATTAGAGATGTGGTGTTTACTGGTGCTTTGTTTGGTGGCTATGTAATCCTTCATCCAAACAGGCTGCTTGGAATCTCTTGAAGACTTCCTAGTGATTGGAGCATGAACTCCATCTAATGGAATGTGACCAGCATCAAAGGATGTTGATGCCTAATTGAAAACATCTTCCCCTTCATACTCCAGAGCAAGGGAAGGACTTAATTCCAAGTCAAATGAATCAGAATCAAGGGCAGGATTATCACCAGGCCAAGTAGAAGGAGCTGAAGTGTCATTGATGTTGGAGATATCAGGTTAATGTTGTGGCATGTCATGAGGTATATTTGGTGAGTTCTATGGTTAATTTTGTGGTGTATCATGGGTTGTATCTGGTAGGATTTGTGATATATCATGAGGTGAGGATTGGTCTATGTTGGTAGTTCCAGGTGTATACTATTTCTTGGAGTATGCAATGGCAAAGGGAATTTATTTTCTCTGAAAATGACATCTATGCTGATAAACAACTGGTTTGTTTTAAGATCTAGGAGGATATAGCCTTTTTGCAACTCTGAGTACCCCATAAGAGTAGCTAGCTTTGCTCTTTCCTCAAACTTGTTTCCTTTAGGAATTGTAGTTGCAAAACACAGACATCCAAACACCCTTAAGTGATGCAATGTTGCCTGCTTCTTGAACAATAACTCAGAAGGACTTTTGTTACGAGTTACAACAGAATGAAGTCTGTTCATAAGGTAAACTGCAGTCTTGATACACATACCCCAGTATCTAATAGGCACTTTGGATTGAAACCTGAGTGCCCTAGCTATATTCAAGATATGCCTATATTTTCTTTCAACAACTCCATTCTGTTGAGGGGTGTGAACACAACTGCTCTGATGAAGTATTCCTAAATCCTGAAATAAAGTACTGCACTGTGAGTTAAAGAACTTAGTGTCATTGTCTGTCTTAAGAACCTTAACCATGACACCAAACTGTGTTTGCACCATGGACAAAAAAGACTTAATTGCTACAGTAGCTTTAGACTTAAGTTGCAACAAATAGATCTATGTATACCTACTGTGATCATCCACAACAGTCAAAAAATAATGTTTGCTGTCAGAAGTAGCAGTTTTATAGGGGTCCCAAAGATCTATATGTACAATGTGAAATGGTGCATCAACTCTAGAATCACTACTGGGAAACATCAATGTAGCTTGCTTTGCCAAAGGGAAAATTGTGCACTCATTCAATTGTGAACTATTTAAATGATCATGTAACAACTTCATAGACTTCATTACTGGTGCAGGTGGTTGTCCAAGTCTGTTATGCCATAAGCTGCTGTCCTTTTGTTGAATTGTTGGTATTATTGGATGTTGTGTGCCTTTCTTACTAATATCTGCATCTTTATATATGTACAAAATCTCCTCTTTGCCTACCAATCCCCTTCACCCTGCCACTCCAAAGCTCTTGAAAGACACAGGAGCCAGGGAAAAAGTTGACTGAGCATGACAATTCTTTGGTAAATTTGGACACTGACAGCAAGTTAAACTTGAAATCAGGGACAACCAATACATTGCTCACAGTTGTGTTGCCAACATGGATGCATAGCTAGTATGAGTAATATCTGCCCTATCTCCTGTGTGTAAATGTACTTTACTATTACCAGATATTTGTTGACTATGATCACTATTTATCAGACTTTTCTTAGAAGCTACATGATGAGTAGCTCCAGAATCCACTATCCACTCATCATCACTTGTTACCTTAGACATCATACAAATTATATTACCTGCTATATCGATGTGGTTTGCCTCATTGCTTTGATCTTTCCCGACATCCTTGTTTAGTAAATTGAGAATCTGTTTATATTGTTCTTTAGTAAAATACTAAGTCTCGACTTCAGTTGGCCCTGAGTTTCTATAATGCATCTATGGTGGTGGCATATCAACATTTTCAGTCACATTGTTGACAACATTGAAGGGTTGTTTTCCATATCCAGTATGTCCAACCATAGTTAACTTGACTTTCAGATGCTCCAAAATCAAACTTCGAATTCCTCTTAGACTTAAAATCGGGGGGGTATATATCCAACCAATTTGTAACAATTCTCCTTGTTATGGCCTTTCATATTGCAGTATTCACACTGCAAAAAAGGTCTCTTGCCTTTACAAGGCTGTCCACGAGTTAATTGCATAGCTAAGGGATCTGTGTTTGCAGTAACTGCGTTTAGACCAACTGAGTGTTGACTCTCATCTTCAATTATCATAGCATAGGCTTGGTTAATTGTAGGACAAGTTTATTTCAATAAAATCTGTCTCTTAGCTTGGTCATACGAGTCATTTAATCCACTTAGAAACTTTAATAACCTTTGCTGATGAAAGTGCTTAACTGATTCCTTAGACTTTTCACAGTCACAACTAGGAGGAGGGACCATGGCATTATATTCAGCGCAGAGGTCGTTCAATTTAGTGAAATATACTGAAATAGAGTTCTTACCTTGTGAGTGATTAGCTATTTGACGCTGTACTTGAAAAATCCTCACGCGATTGACCTTGTCAAATCGTTCCTTGAGGTTTTTCCACACGATGTAGGAATCTGAGGAATACATGATTCCACTGAGTAGATCTTCAGAAACTATATTGATAATCCATGAAAGGACTGTTGCATTGCATGTTTCCCACTGCTTGTGCAACTCATTATCAAACAATTCCTTCTTACAGGTACCTAGCCCGAACCCTAGCTTCCTCTTAGCTTGGAGAGCAATTCTCATCGACCTACTCCATAACCATAATTTTCTGATCCGGTGAGTTTGATAGGAACGAGCACTGAACTAGGATTGTCAGTCGAGTTCATGAACAGAGGATGCGTGTAGGTGAGTTTTTTCGCAGCCATAGCTCGAAACGAGCTTGAAGAAGTTGAGATTTACAGAGTGCTTTGGGTAATTAGCTCGGAGAACAGGTGAGTTACCAGAATCAGTTGCTCTGATACCATGCTAAAAGCCCATGGGAGCTGAGACGGAATCAGCTAAAAGCTTCTATGGAAGAGGAGAAATGAGATTGCAGTATGAGAAATGAAACCGTCTACTGTTCCATTAGTTTTCAATGTATTTATACAACTACTAACTCTCTCTAATCTACAGCTAACCATTGACAATTAAATACAACTGCCAACTAACTGATTATCCTCTAACTACCTAACTGCTAACCACTAACTACCACGCGTGTTATCCAAATACACTGCTACACTACACTGTTACATTGGCATCTCTCAACAAAGATTAAACTTCTAGTATGCAATTTGAAAGTGTCATCAAACCTACGAGTTGAATATTGGAGCTTTTGGGTGGCATATATATTATGAGTACTTCATCAAGTAGGAATTAGTAAATTGATGATAATCTTTATAGTACACATGATTATGTGGCATATATATTGGCATATTATCCAACTTAAGTTACTAAATGCGTCTCTACAAGATCACTGTTAAGTTTTTGGGTGGGTCGTTGTGATTTGAAAAACTGCGAAAAGTTACGAATAAAGAAAAAAAAATTGAAAAGAAGGGAAGTCTATCGTAATTTTGTAAAGTTTCTAAACAAAACAATAAATTAGAAAAGGAGAACTTGGGTATTACTCCCTCTATCTTACTATATGTGATATACTTAATATTTGGAGACTCAAAAGAGTTTTTCTTTATTGGAATTTTTCATATATATGTCCTGTAATATTTTGAATTATTAATAATTATAGTTTATAGTACGTTTATTGTAGTTTCTAATATGTAAATTTTATTTTAAAAAATTTGAAGATTGTATATCCGAACTCACACAAAAAAATTTGAGAATTTGATCATACTTGAGTATTACTCTCTCTATCTCACTATATGTGAAATATTTAATATATTTGGAGAATGAAGAGATAAAAGAGTTTTTATTTGACCGCTACTTTTCATATATTTTTTAATATTTTGAATTGTTAATAATTATGGTTTATAGTACGTTTTACGTAATTTTTAATATGTAAAGTCTATTACAAAAAATAAATAAATTATATATCCGAAATCACACAAAAATTAGATAGTTTAACCCTTGTACTTGGAGAATCATGTGTAGGACGGAGGGAAAAACTATTTGAAGTTACTCCCCAAAAGGTATAAAAGAACATTAAATGAAAACCTTTCATCATCATTCTACATTGAATAGTGTAGAGAAAAACATGGAGGTAGAAAGAAACCATATTACCAAAATCAACGAAAAGTAAAGACCATAAAAAAATCCGAAAAATCATGCCACACCTCTATTTGCCGCAGTTTGCTCTCTATAATTAGTACATGCATGTCTTCCTTTAACACGGCTATTCTGAGTGCCTCCTCCATTTACCGAAGGGGCCTCATTTAGCTCTCTCTCTTTTCTTTCTCTCTTCTCTTTTCGTCATTGCACTAGCTCACAATCTTCTGTTGTCCCTGCAAAGCTAAAGAACGAGAGCAAAAATGACTATACCAATTAGCCAGTTCCTAGCGTTAGCCCTCCTCTCCTTTTTTGTTGCCTCTGCAATTGCTGATGAAAAGCCTCGCGGTGTCACCTACGATGGTCGTTCAATGATCATCAATGGCAACAGGGAATTGCTCTTTTCTGGTTCTATTCATTACCCTCGTAGCCCTCCTGAGGTGACTTCACAATCTAGCCTCTTTTTGAGATTTTAAATAAGTCTCGGACATGATATAGAGCATAAGAATAGATTGGACGAATCCGTTGGACCAGAGAGAAAAAAAGTTACAATCTGCTCTTGCATGAAACAAATGAATGCAAGACATGTGTCTGTCATATAAAACTATGGTTGAAGGATATGTATTTGACTATATAGTTAAATTACTTGATTTAGTATAAATACTAAGTGCAAAAAAATATTTGTTGGGATTACTGTATCCGCCAAATAGTACATGATTCTTTTTACAATATTTACTCATGAAACTATGTTAATATTGGGATTGATCAGATGTGGCATGACATCATAAGGAAAGCTAAAGAAGGAGGTCTGAATCTAATTCAGACATATGTTTTCTGGAACATTCACGAGCCGGTTCAAGGGCAGGTAACATCTGTGTTTTGTTCATGCATGCATTAAAGAATATCAAATATCCAAATAGTTAACATTTCCCCCTTTGTGAATTTACAGTTCAATTTTGAAGGAAACTATGACGTGGTGAAATTCATCAAGATGATAGGGGAGCAAGACTTATATGTGAACCTAAGAGTTGGACCTTACATCGAGGCTGAATGGAATCAAGGGTATATATTATATTTAATTCCATTTAATTACGTAATTGCTAATTAGTGTTTCTAATTTTTGTTTATTGATCATGGAACAGTGGATTCCCATACTGGCTTAGAGAGGTTCCTAATATCACATTCCGTTCTTATAACGAACCCTTCATGGTACGTTTTCACATATAATATATGAATGCTCTTAAATAAATATGAAGTATCTTTAATTGTTCATTCTTGTTTATTTATTCCTTGTTTGTAATTTTTCCACTTTGCAGCACCACATGAAAAAATATGCAGAAATGGTGATTGACTTGATGAAAAAGGAGAAGTTGTTCGCACCCCAAGGAGGCCCCATTATCATGGCTCAGGTTCCTTTTCATATCTATTGCTCGAAAGAGATAAACGAGAACAAATTCTTTTATTAAGTAAAGTTATTAAATATTTTTTTTTAAGTAGTATACAAAACAATAGCTAGTATATACCATGCATATACCTCTACACCTTGGTATTTCATCAGCGTCCTTATGAATATTTTTTAATTGTTAACAGATTGAAAACGAATACAACAATGTCCAGCTTGCTTACAGAGAAGATGGAAAGAAGTATATTAAGTGGGCTGCTGATATGGCTACTGGATTGTACAATGGAGTACCTTGGGTCATGTGCAAGCAAAAGGATGCCCCTCCACAAGTGGTAGATTTTCTTTTAATAAAATTATTACTATTAATTTTTAGAAAGCGAAAAATAATGTAACTTCAAATGTATCGGTAAACCATTATATTAGAACTGATCACACTTCTCTCCTTTTTTTTTAAAAAAAAAAAATTATTTGTCAAGATCAACACATGCAATGGAAGGCATTGTGCAGATACTTTCACAGGTCCCAATGGCCCCAACAAGCCTTCTTTGTGGACTGAAAATTGGACTGCGCAGTAAGTATATATATTGTCTTTCTACTTATTAAATTATGGGTAATATTAATTAAGTGTATGTTACAAATATTTTGAATTACAGATATAGGACATTTGGAGACCCTCCATCACAAAGAGCAGCTGAAGATATTGCATTTTCTGTTGCTCGTTTCTTTGCGAAGAACGGAACTCTAACAAACTATTACATGGTACTCATTCCATTTGTATTCTCATAATATTTTACCTTTGAATGTGACCAAAAGTTTAATTATTTCTTGTATTTCAGTACCATGGTGGCACCAACTTTGGAAGAACAGGCTCTTCCTTCGTGACGACTCGCTATTATGATGAAGCTCCCCTTGATGAATTTGGTAATTAGATTCATCCTTAAGATTAATTAATTAAAACATTTGGATCAAGACGTTTAATTTATGTCTATTTTAGGTTTGAAGAGGGAACCCAAATGGAGTCACTTGAGAGACTTGCACAGAGCTTTAAGACTGTCCAGAAGGGCTCTCCTTTGGGGAACTCCCACTGTTCAAAAGATTAGCCAAGACCTCGAGGTAACCAAACGTTTGCATGCATTATTAACCCAACCAAAATCAGCTTGAATTTAACTTCTATATATATATATATATATA